AGTGGGTCACCTTGTCGAACACCTCTTGATATCTTGATCTCGGTTGATATTTCACTATCCATCCTCGACCCCACGCGTCCACAGGTGGCGGATAACCAACAAGTAGTCGCGGACCAACTGGCGGTGTTTGCAGAGAGCGAGGCAGAATAGCCTGTGGAGCAGCTACTCTATTTAAATACCTCATCAAGCTTAATGAAGATCAGTGAAGGAAACAGCCTTTGACTGCAGCCTGCATGTCTGTTGAAGCCTGTTTTCCAGTTTCTTTGTCTTTAAAGATAGCGAAGGAAACATTCAATTCTCGATATTTATTATAGGTTGTCCCGGCCAATTTCCGAATTTTTCGAATCATTTTCATTATTTGCCATTCAATTCGCGTAATTTTGATACATCGGATTAAATTGAGGTTTTTATTTCATTGTTGGGGCATTCTATTTCAGTTTTTTTGCCACTCAAGATTTTGTTCCTAATGTTCGTTTTCGTTTGGGGGCATTCTATTTCGTCTTGGTGCATTCAAGACTTCATTCGCAGCATTCTTTCATTACGGTTTTGACATCTTCTTACGGTTGACGCATTCAAATAAGCGAACGTCGCTGGGCATTATGACATATGACCAGGTTTTTCTTTTCTTATTCGTTTATGGGCAGTTATTTTTATCGTTTGGTCATTCAAATTATTAAAATGTTTTAATTGACATTTTTCCTATTTTCTTCTGAGGACCATTTTATTTGATATCTTGTCTGTAAAATGTATAATGTAATAAATTAAATAATATGAGGGATGATGTAACGAAATAGTGAAATGAAAAGGGCAAAGGAATTTCTTTTTCATCGTTGTTCTTTCCTATACTTGTTTTAAAATTTGAACAAGTCCTTCACTTTTGTTTACTGTTCTTTTTAGTTCTGTTTTGTAAACTTTTTTTGAATTTATCGCTGCTTCACCCATCGATCTCTTGACGTGCAAAACACAGTGGCGTAATCAGGGGTTGGGGAGTGCAAAGTGGCAGATTGCAACGGGCTAGACTTTTTTTAAAGCGTAAGCGGGACGCTGATAGGAGCAAAATTGGGACGGCGAAATCGGCCTGTCGGAAAAATCGTACCTCCTTCGGAGAATTTGCAGGGATGAAGAGCGAAGATGTCCATGTTTGTTCGCTTTTAACAGTGCCCCCTATTAGATGGTGCGCATGGTGCATGGGCGTCGCGAGGGGGCAAGGGGGGCACTTGCCCCTCCCCCCGGAAAAGCAAAAAAAAAAAAAAAAAAAAAGAGGCGCGAAGAGAAAGTGGTGTAAATTTAATGAGTGGGGGGGCAAATGTCCCTGCCCCCCTCTAAAACTTATAAATCGAGAATGTGTTGAGAAATACAAGCATTTTTTGGCAAAAAAATTGTTGCCCCCCTCTAGAAAAAAAATACTGGCGACGCCCATGATGATGCGAACCAGGAATTTCTTAAAGGATGCTTGAACAAATGTGAAATATGTTTGCCATAAATAAATGAAAATGAATGCCCGATCAACCCCTTACTACTGGTTCAGACGAAATTGAATGAACAACACGACACTTTTAATTTGGATGCGTCTTTTATTGAAGCTAAAAGACGGTTGAATGTTCGGAGAGTGAAATTGAATTATTCTTTTTGATTGTCGAATGACAATCTAAACTGAATGAGCCAGGCATTAAATTGAGTGAAAGGTTGGTGAAATTGGCCAGTAAAACCTATATCAAATAAATACGGAGGCTGGTTCGTGCCAGGTTTTAAAAGAAAAACAATTAACGCATTAATATTGTGAAATAACGCAATAGTTTGGCGAAATATTGCAGTGTTTTTGCGAAATAATGCAATAATTTTGCAAAATAAAGCCATTGTATTGTGAAGTATAAACGCAACAAATTCAAATTTGCAGAGAGCGTATTTAGCAATACTATCGCATGTTGTTTTGCAATCCAATGCGTTATTTTGCAATATTAATCACAATTTTGGGGGAATAAAATGTGATAATATTGTAAAACTATAGAAAGCACACAGAGAGCGCAAACCTCCGCCAAAGCTTAACATTTCCTCGCCAATAGAAATACTCGCATCAATTGTAAAGGAATCCTTAAAAATAAAATACTCGATCCAGACCCAGATCCAGATCACTTCCAAAATCCAATCGATGTGCACTTGTACAAAAAACCTCCCCTAAAAAAATTCATGCAAACCCGTCCATAACTTTTTGAGTTATCTTGTTAAAAGACAAACTAACCAACCAACAAACTAACCGAATCAGAAACACTCCTTTGCGGAGGTACTAACGCAATAGTATTGCAAGATAACGCGATAGTGTTATTTGGCAATGCTGCGTTATTTTGCAATACCACCGCGTTACATTCGTAACACCTATTACGATTTAAGGGAATTGTCCAAAGACAAATGGAACGAATCCTAGAGTGATTGAGTACAATGAAAAAAACAGTCTGGACCTCTTTTTTTCTTCGGGCCCATTTATGCGCATGCGTGCACAATTTGAGTGTGGGTGTGCTCTTGTATTGTATTACGCTCGAGGACAGACAACAAAAGGAGCACAAAGGAACCTTTGACCCTCGGACGACGGTGCCTATTGTTAAAACCGGTCCTCGATCGTACGGTTATGTGCTTAGTCTATGGGAAAGTGTTATATTAGAGGGACAAAGGAAAACACAATAGTTGTCCTCAGGCGTATAGTAAAAAAAGACTGTGTTGGGGGGGGGGGATGGGTGTGTGTGAACTGGTCTAATGCAGTACAAGTTTACCTGTTCAGAGGCGTAAATCCAGGGGTGAGGAGGATATATGCAACCACTTTATGACCGGGGGATGGGCCTTCGGATCATTCCCCCAATTTTTTGTGGTAAGAAACAAAAAAACGAGGGTTTTGAGGTATTTTTCGAACTTTCTCAAAGCAAAAATGTATTAAAACGCACTGATGAATTGAGAAAAAATACAAAAGCTTAAAATGCGCCGTTTTCTTGCAAGTCTATACATTAGATGTACATGTACATCTACACCCTCGCCCAGATTAATCGTTACGATAGGGTGCTTCTGCGCAGTTGCTGGAACAATGCTTATTTGAGTTTCATTGTTTGATTTTTGTTCTTTTTTTTCTTTTTCCGCTTGAAACGGTGTACGATCCCAATTCCGCTCAAACGTAATAAGAAATACTCCCTAATTTAACGACACATAAATGGCCACCAGGACGAAATCAATGTGCTTTTGATGCAACTATTTTATTTATGTCTCAGAGAAAATATGGGAAAAGAGGGGAAAACGTCCGAGCCGTTTTGATCATTTATCAGTCAATAAATTTAAGTAAAACGTATAAGGCCCAATATTGTTCCTCTTAATATTTCGAAACTAATATGCTTGATATTTTTTTCCCGATGCATTAAAAGTCATGTTATATTCATGATCAACCGATTAACTGACAAATAAACTAGTATGCATGTCACTCAATGTATACCACTCCTTCATACATAATTGACATTTGGAGCTAAGCAGCCCAAATACTCGCTTAGCATTGAGTGTGACCGCTGACGAGACACTGCAGCTTGGTCCTTATATTTCAAGTTAATCTTTTCGCGCCAACATTATCATTTTGTTCCCTTACGCTTTCAATTGATATGATGTGCGGCCGGGCTATTAAATTGAAACCACCAGATTGTTCGCCATTACATCATTTGTAACTCAACCGTCTTAACTATCCTTTATTATTCGATCATGTAATGCGCATATCAAATGTTTCCCCACCTCTCCCCACCCCTCGGGCAAAATGGAAGTGACAATCCCCGACCATGCCCCGACACAAATACGTGGGGAGCACAAGTGATTGCCTTTCTGTAGAACGCCAATGGTAACAGTGTAATTTGAGTGACCAAAATCCCCACCCTGGGGCATGAAAAATATGACCAAATCCCGACATCAGACCTAGTGCAGACTATATTATCTGGCATCTTATTACCAAGGTCATTTTGTTTTGTTCATTTCTTACAATTAATTCGTATCACTATTAGCATCTAATTTAATTCGTTAATTATAATCATAGAAACAGAAATCGGAGGAAGGATATATTATGTCTACATTTACATTTTAAAATAGAGCGCGTAAGTTTACCTCAAAAACTAAACCTGCGAGATTTTACGAGAGTGCAGCTCTGTGGCGGCGCCAGACTCTAAAAGAAAAAAAGGGGAGCAGGGGCAATTGGGGGGAGGAAATAGTTATTTTCTTTTTGGGAGGAGGTAGGGGAAGTCAATGGCCCGAAAAGCCACTACAGAAACTTAGAAGTGAAGTTTTTTTATGAATGAGAAATGTATCGTACCACAGAATACACACCATCTAGCTGTATAAATGCATGTGTGAATGTCGTGTTTTGTCTACAAAGTACCAATGTTTATAATGCTTTCATTGGCCCAAAATGTGTCCACAGAACTGATGATTCACTCTCTATATTCAACTTGTCATTAGTTTTAACAGCAAAGAAAATAAACACAATTCATCTATTTGTAAAGAAAGTGCTGGGAAAACTGGGGGCAAACAATTTGGGGGAAAATCCCGTCGTAGCGCCGCCACAACGCGTAGGGGACACCATAGTATCTGTAACATGTGTAACGTCCTATCTTTTGCATTTAGTTTGTGTCCTGATTACGCCCATAATCAAGGGCAATAAATTGGTATTTTAAAAGATAGAAAGCATTACAATTTACAACATATTGAAAATTTTGCAAATTGATGACTTTTTAAAATATAATTGATGACCTTAACTTCCGTTCAATCGATCAGGCGGATAGCAAGAGGGTAAATATTAAAGCCTCTCCGTTTACTTGTGCGCTTTTCCATGAGGCTACGAAACCGTCCCCATAGGCTCCCATAAGAAAGCACGCATGCAAGCAAAGTGTGGCGTCATCTTTAGAGAGGCTTATTTTAACACGGGAGTCTGTGACTAGACTACATGTAGTACCAAGACGCTCACATATAAAGTGAGCGTGGAGTGCAAGACTTACTTACACGCTCTATAGATAGGCCTAAATCTACAAAACGGTCAATGACTATGCAAGCGCTACAGCTCTCTAAAATCCACACTGCCGTTTTGGTGTTCAGTTTCCATCGTCTGTTCCGGTTGTTTTGTTCCTGTCCCTCCTTGACAATACAATTCTATGGGGGGAAATAATGAGATGATGATTAAAAGAATATCAACACCTTTATGTCTAGTCTTGGTCAAGCATGAATTTGGATTGTGTTTCCGTTATACAAAAAAAAAAACTCAATGGGCAGTCACAGTCGATAAAATAATGTTACCGAAGGTAATACGGAGCGAGATTTTAGGATATCACAATTTTAGCCTTGCATTTACAAAATTGTCAATGAAGTTTCCTCATACTTGACCTTTCTGTGTTCTGCGATTTGGCTTTGGAAATAATAATCCGATTTTGATGCAGAAGGGGTCTTTGTAGAGAAAGGTTGGTGCAACGGGCAATGTAAAACTTCATTTGTGAGTCTTTGATTTTGCTTGTTTTGGCATGCGGCGTCGTAATTTGCCTGCCGTTCTGTCTTACCTGTCGTTACTTTCGGAGAGACCTCTTCAACTCGGCCACCTTACGGACGGTTCTCAAAGATTTCTCCCTCGGGTCTCTTTTCCTCATACCATCTGTTTTATATTCAGTTCCATGAAAAGAAAAATTTGAAAATTTACTTCTGATATGCATGACGTAGACCTAGTATCTCTACCTCAACAGTGCAACAGCACGCACACGATTTCATGCTAACATGACACTTCATGTATTTGCGAAAGCAAAATTTCACGTCGTCAACAATTGCAGTTTGAATGTGGTGTTCGCCGTTTCCCAACAAATTCGCTTCGCGTGTGAAGTCTGAACCGGTCTAAAGTAAGCTAATTCATATATCTGTGATAATTATTTCGGATGAGACGACCTATACGCACCAAAGCCAAGCGTTCCGCACGCCAGCCACTCGTCTTCACCGTAGGCGCAGTCCACGATTCGGTCGCAGGTGTATCTCTGAGGAATCGTGTCTCCGGTCGAAATACAAGTAAAAGTATCCCCAATTGGATTGGGTGGTGGACCACCTGGGAAAAATATTAATTGGTAAGGTAAGGAAATAGGTCTTCGAGTTTAGAAATTTTTGAAAGGTTACACCAATCAAAACATTTGAACACGGGGGCACCTGGGGATGCACCAAATGTTCAAGGGGCGCTGCATGAGGGCAACGTATATATTATTTGTGTGCAATTCGAGATTTCAACAAGGGGGGGGGGCTCCCAGGGGCCGGGGACGGACCTCAAACCTAATGATACACTGTTTTCCTCTCATTGACCAAAACTACCACAATCGGTGCACTCAATGTCACAAAACTTTCTCTCTCTTGACACGAGTTCCCGCATAACGGTGACAAAAAAAGACGTGAACTCAAGCTTATTGACGTAAGATAAATAATATATTAATTGTTCAGCCTTTTTTTAGGTACATGTTGTGAAGTTACTGAAACGATTAATTTCTGAATTTTTCGCACGCAAAATGATGCCATAACAGCGCCCTCATTGTATTGCATACTGCATTTGTCTTTCTTACCACAGAAGTTCTCATCTTCATCGTCACCATACATGCAGTTGGCAACGCCATCACACAGAAATCCCTGATCAATGCAAGAGCCATCTAAGCATTGGTACTGCGTGTTATCACAAATTCCATCTGAGCTGTCATAGTGCGGAGGGTGTGGACCTGCCAGACAGAAATATCGTTATGTAGTACAACGGATAGTATAGGTGATATAATGTAACATTTACAAAAATCTAAAAACTGAACTACCAGATTATTATAATGAAACCTCAATTGACTGTATTTGAATACAAGTCTCAAGTATCATGTCAAATCATGACACCTAATGTGCTGTCACTTTCAAGAAAACTGGAATTTTGTATCAATTTCCAACGATTGTCGGACAATGTCAAATTGGATTCAGAACACCCCCCCCCCCCCTCTCAACTTTGGCTACCTCCCAAAACAGGGGAATTTCTTGGAAAATTGTTGCCCCCCCCCCCAAAAAAAAAAAATTCCTGCTACATGGAAACCACTATAGAATTCACGTTTATGTGCATTTTAATGCGCGACAGAATGACGCTCACGAGTTGTAAAGTGATAAAGCCCTCAGACAAGTTCTGTGATTTGAATTTTGGGGGTGCGTTTTCTTTATCGGTTACCCGTGTTTCACTTCAATACTACCCGTAAACGTGCACCGCTAGTTCCTTGGTCAATTTCATGTGGTGAAGACAACAACATAAAATTTATCGTGCTTACAACACTTAAGACAAGATCCCCGGTAAGTCTCCAAAATCAAACTGCTCTTGTGTTAAAAGTTGAAAACAGATGTATTAATTAACCACAATTAAAAACTGAAAGTACTAACACAACTTTGCACTAATTAGTATTAATAACCAAAACCAAATCTTACCGCAGATATGCTCTGGTTCATCGAAACCATCTGCACAATCATTGTGGCCGTCACAAGCCATGTATACAGATAAGCATTCGCCGGTGGGACATTGCAAGTCACATGAGCCTGTTAATGAACACAATAGGACTGTCAAGGGCCAGTGCTATTTCGCTGCGCCGTCTTCAAGAAGCGATAGCCTTCCACAGAATTCATGTATGCAAGTGAAATGCCACTATGTGACCTTATAGGGACCATTAATGACTCGGATGTAAGGATGCAAACTTCGTCCGGATACTCAATCCCATTAACTGAAACTCGATCAATCAGAATGTAAAGGCACTCTACATGTCTTTCCCTTGTTTGAGTCCAATCAACTGAACTTGCAATTTGGCGACTAAGAGAGCAGGACTGTAGCCCACCTTTATTTAAATTTGTTTTCACCGCGGTAGTTTTTGTTTGCACCTGGAAATGCATCAAGGAAGGTAAACCTTTTTCTGATTATGAGAGCGCAGTAGACTTCATTGACTAGAAGCAGGGAAGGTGTTATATGGAACTTGGACTGTTATGAAATCTAGCATCTTTTTCCTTACATGGACCTTACCCTCGCATCATTCAATGATTCAATGATTCAATGTAAAGAAGTTTCGATCCAACCGATTTAATACTTGGAAAAGAAACACAAAGCAAACTAGGCTGCCAGTATTCGGAATAATACTTACCATCCGATGAGTTCCCTTGCGGTGGGAGGCCGAGTGGGTCTATAAAGGAAAAATGTAATTGCACAGACAATTCTTAGGATACCACGACCATATTGCAATACTGCGACCCTTGCTGTTTGTATCGGAGTTCATTTTCAGAGTCCGCGTATGAAAAAGAATACACGAGTTGTACTGGCTATCGTCATGCATGGTTTGATGTATCCCGATGTACTCATTATGCAAGATGCAGCTTTTGTGCCATACCTATAATTGACTTCTTAAGTTGTCAGGCGTAAAACTCTTTCAAGATGTGATATGCCAGGCCAAATGTGCGGGTAACACCGCCCTCACTCTACTCCAAATGACTAGGAGATTAGATCATTGCAAAATTAATGCTTAGTGTCCATGTCATAAGTAAAGTGCATATTGTGAAATGTCTATTTCTGACTCAAATGTTAATTTTGAAACACAGAAATAAAAATTCAAACCTTACAGCTATAACTACTTTTATTTATACATATAGGCTAAGGAAATGTTGAAATTATCATTCTTTTAACGCGCGCAATTCTTCAAATAAGTCTAAAGATTGGGCGCATTTTCTAATCGTTACGTTTTAAGTCACCAGAAACGAAATCTGATGACAACGACATTAAAGTGAATGACAAAAAAACAAATTTGCTTTTTCAATTCAACGCCGATTGCTACACGAGACGAATAGGGAAAACCTATATTGACGATTATTGCATTTTCTTGTCTTAAACAAAATTGTTCCACAAATATTAAAACGATTCTAGTTCTACTAAACAGTGGGATGTAGTTATCGAGAATTTGTTTTGATGAAGACCAATGCACAGAACCCAATGTCCTACAAGGGACCAATGACAATAGACTTTAGTCACGTTTCGGTCATATTAAATTGAAAGAGAGGTAAATCTTATTTTGGAACGCGCGAGTAGAAATGAATGCACTGAAATAAAAAGTTCAGTACCATTAACACTAGACTACTTTGATGAATAATTTTAAACTTGTAATTAAACATTTCCCTATAATGTTATAAAAGTGAGACATTGAACCCACTCAAATCATTAAATACTCTGGCACCATTCCAAATGATAGTTTCCAATTTATACAATATTTTCAGGGAACACTTTCCAAAATAGCTTCCTGCTGGTGAATGCGGTCCATACCAAGAGTCAGAGAGAAGATTAACGCTGTGACATCACTTCTTTTCTTACCACAGGTAAATGCATTGCTCTCGTCTTCGCCTCCAATGCAGTCTCTTTTTCCATCACACAATTCATTGTAATAAACGCATTCCTGGCTGAAAATACAGCTGGCCTGGAGTCCGCTGCACGGGTACGTGGGAGGGTAGCCACTTCCTCCTGCACATGCAATAACAACCCAGGCCTCACATTTCAACAAACATTTCGATGATATCTTCAATGTCATAATTGAAAGTCAAATGCTCTAAATTCTATTCAAACATCGCACGTGGTACATTGCAGAAAAAAAAACAATATTCATTTGGAACTCTGTTATGGGCTCTGTGCTCAAGTACCCCCCCCCCCCCCCCCCAACGGTAAGAGAAGGAGAGTTCGGGTTGGCATCCGGCGATCAGCTAACAGGGCCGCGTTTTGCGCTGTGACCGTTATCGGGACGCGTATTTTTTTTCCTAGGAGGGATATGGGGTAAAGTCATGCATAATTCAGTTCAACTTTTCACTTATTTAGCCATCTTGGGCAAACAGTGCATGTATCCAGGCACTTTTCGTGTTTTTCTGTAGTCTCGAATAAATCTCATAAAATCTCGCGTACGCTTTTGGGCCATGCGTGCTTGACCTCGGAACAAGAAACTGAGGTCAAACAGGGCTGTGTGCGTGACACAGCTCGAGGCTCAGCAAGCTGATGGCGGAAGCGTGCAAAGAGCGAATGGGCGCGAGTAATTAGTGGTGCGCGCGCGTGCAAGACGTTTTAGCTAACAAACCGGATTGCAAAGGGCTCCGTGCGCCAACAACAGAGGGTCCGTTTTACCACTTTTGAGAGCCCCTTGAACGGGACACCGCGTACGCACACGTACGGGACTGGCACGGAGCCCATTGGTCGAAAAAGCCTGGAGTACTTGTGAACTACATGAGCGCGACTCGCGCGAGCCTGCGCTTAATCTGGCTCTGCTAACCACATAATTCGGATTATTTACTTGTTAGCGCTTGATAGACGTTCAACGGTCCGAAGGTTAATAGTCTGAAGGTTCGATATAGTCCGGAGGTCTGTTCGTCCGAAGGTCCGATAGTCCTAATAGACGATAAGTTTGATAGACCGAATCGAAAAAGGTTCAACGGTCCGAATGAAACATTATTGAACGTTATTGTAAATTCAGATATTAAACCCTATTCTAAGTTCAAAGTATCCAATCTTTGGACAACCTCATTTCATTTTTGGACTAATAAAGCCCGAGCATGTGATATGTGTGGGTTTTGACCATTGAACCTTCAGATCAATAAACCTTCGCACTATCCAACCTCCTGACTGTCGAGCAGACCCACTAAAGTTTATTCTATTTTGGACTATAATGACTATGGGATTTTTCTACTAAGTTGCACCCATCGTACTATCGAGCAGTTACCGTCACAAATGTGCTGTAACCAAAAGACAATAAAGAGATATGCCAAAGTCACTTATTTTTCTTACCACAGCTAAGTACTGGGTCTTCATCTTCGCCGCCAATGCAGTCTGTTTTTCCATCACACAGTTCACGGAAATAAACGCATTCATTGCTGTACAAGCACCTGATCTGATATTGGCCGCACGTCACAGGAGGACCTGCAACCAACATACAATGCATGCCAGTCTCATGAAACACGAGGCTGTTGTAGGTAAGCCTAAAAGAAAGTACCAGTCTGTCGCTACTTACAAGGTGACAATCTACGTCATTTTGTCGCCAAAAAGTTTCACTTCGTTTATGTATACTATGAGAACAGACTGATATCACACTCTGCATCTGGAGCATGCACCACAATCAATGAAGCTCCTCCAAACACCACTTCCTTAACAAGCACCAGCAGGTACGCAGAGGCAAAAACAAGCTAGCAAGCAAAAACACACTCGAGGGAGCAAACAAGTAAGCATGCACGCACGCAAAATGATGCCATAACAGCGCCCTCATTGTATTGCATACTGCATTTGTCTTTCTTACCACAAAAATTCTCATTTTCATCGTCACCATACATGCAGTTGGCAACGCCATCACACAGAATTCCCTGATCAATGCAAGAGCCATCTAAGCATTGGTACTGCGTGTTATCACAACTTCTATCTGAGCTGTCATAGTGCGGAGGGTGTGGACCCGCCAGACAGAAATATATATATGTAGTTCAACGGATAGTAAAGGTAATATATAACATTTACAACAATCTAAAAACTGACCTACCAGATTATTTTGATGATACCTTAATTAAATACAAGTCTCAAGCATCATGTCAAATCATGACACCTAATGTGCTGTCATTTTCAAGAAAACTGGAATTTTGTATCGATTTCCAACGATTGTCGGATAATTTCAAATTGGATTCAGACCCCCTCCCTCCATTTTGGCTACCTCCCAACACAGAGGAGTTTCTTGGAAAATTGTTGCCGCCCCCCCCCCCCCCCCCGCCCCCAAACAAATCCTGCTACATGAAAACCACTACAGATTTCACGTTTACGTGCATTTTAATGTGCACCAGATGACGCTCACGAGTTGTAAAGTGATAAAGCCCTCCAGACAAGTTCTGTAATTTGAATTTTGGGGGTGCGTTTTCTTTATCGGGCACCCGTGTTTCACTTCAGTACTACCCGTAAAAGTACACTGAGTTCAAAATATAATGCATTGTGCTTAATATAATTAAGACAAGATCCCGGTAAGTCTCCCAAATCAAACTGTTTTTAATGAAAGTTGAATACAGATGTGTTAATGTACAATTAATAATTACGATATAACTGAAAGTGCTGACACAACTGTGCAGTAATTAATAACAATAACCAACCAAACCTTACCGCAGATATGCTCTTGTTCATCGAAACCATCTGCACAATCATTGTGGCCATCACAAACCGTGTTTACAGAGAAGCATTCGCCGGTGGGACATTGCAAGTCACATGAGCCTGTTAATGAACACAATAGGACTGTCAAGGGCCAGTGCTATTTCGCTGCGCCGTCTTCAAGAAGCGATAGCCTTCCACAGAATTCATGTATGCAAGTGAAATGCCACTATGTGACCTTATAGGGACCATTAATGACTCGGATGTAAGGATGCAAACTTCGTCCAGATACTCAATCCCATTAACTGAAACTCGATCAATCAGAATGTAAAGGCACTCTACATGTCTTTCCCTTGTTTGAGTCCAATCAACTGAATTTGCAATTTGGCGACATAGAGAGCAGGCCTGTAGCCCACCTTTATTTAAATTTGTTTTCACCGCGGTAGTTTTGTTTGCACCTGGAAATGCATCAAGGAAGGTAAACCTTTTTCTGATTATGAGAGCGCAGTAGACTCCATTGACTGAAAGCAGGGAAGGTGTTATATGGAACTTGGACTGTTATGAAATCTAGTATCTTTTTCTTAATATAACATGGATTTAACCCTCATTCTAAAAATCTGATACTACGCATAGCAGTTTCAATCCAACCGATGTAATGCCTAGAGAGAAACACAAAGCAAACTAGGCTGCCAGTATTCGGAATAATACTCACCATCCGATGAGTTTCCTTGCGGTGGGAGGCCGAGTGGGTCTATAAAGGAAAAAAATGTAATTGCACAGACAATTCTGTAGGATACCACGACCATATTGCAATACTGCGACCCTTTGCTTTTTGAGGGTAACACCGCCCTCACTCTGTTCTAAACGACTAGGAAATTAGATCAAAGTTGCCCCTTCGCTCGTACCCCCGCCCTGCAAACAGGATACGCTGATGAATTCGCGCTCTGATTGAATATATTTTGCGTGACCTGTGACCTGCAAGTCATCACGGCCACGACTCGGCAAGGTTTTAAACGGCCGTTAAAACCGATTCATCACTCTTTTATTCCCATTCATAAATGCGTTTTCGTTGAAAAGCGTAATAATGTAGGAAACTTATCTGTAAATTTTCAATTCCCGTCACTGCAATTGCTCAGGCTCCGTTTCGAATCCACAAAGGGTCAAATTGCATATTATGCGACGCTCAAAATTTTTGTCCACATTGTCGGCAATGGAAAAAAAATCACATTCGGTATATGAATGCATTTCTATGAGAGAGTTTTCGGATAGCACTTGCGCGCATTGGCTAAGTGCGGTCTTAAACAACACCAGACTATTGACGATTATTGCATTTTCTTTTCTTAAACAAAAATGTTCCACACATTTTAGGACGATTCTAGTTCTACTAAACAGTGGGATGTAGTCATCGAGAATTTTATTTTGATGGAGACCGATGCACAGAACCCAATATCCTTCAAGGGACTGGTGACAGAGACTTTATCCACGTGTCGGCCATATGAAATTGAAAGAGAGGTAAATCTTATATTTGGAACTTGAGAGTAGAAATGAATGTATCTGTATCTGTATCATATACATGTAGTCGGAAAAGCATTCCGGGGGAAACATCACACCAACTTGATGTATACACATCCTTCCTGCCAGAAACACCGGAACGAACCCCTTCTCTTAGCGATAAGCGTTACTGGGTTCGTGCGTTAGGCCTTATACAACACACGGGACCTACGGCTTTGCGTCCCATCCGAAGGACGAAGCAAGGTTAAGTGCCTTGCTAAGGGTACAAGTGTCCGGGCCCGGGCTCGAACCCACGTCACTGTTGCCTCTGAAACACCAGAACATGAGTCCGGTGCTCTTAACTGCTACTCCAATATTAATGCAATGAAATAAAGTTAAATAAAGTTAAATACGAATTAACACCAGACTACACTGATGAATAATTTAAAACTTGTATTTAAACATCCCTTATGTTATCAAAGTGAAAAAGAGAGACCTTGAACCCACTCAGATCGTTATATACTCTGGCATCATTGCATTCAAAGTTTACAATTTATTAAATACTTGATCAGGGAACCCTATCGAAAATAGCTTGCTCGTGAATCAGGTCTATGCCAAGATTTAGAGAGAGATCACTTCTTGCTTACCACAGTAAAGATAATTGTTCTCGTCTTCACCTCCAACGCAGTCTCTTTTTCCATCACACAATTCACTGAAATAAACGCACTCCTGGCTGAAAACACAGCTGGACTGGTAGATGCTGCACGGGTAGACGCTACTTCCTCCTTCACCTGCAGTACCAATAAAACACCCAGGCCTCACATCTCACTAAGTATTTCGATGATATCTTCAATTTCATACTTAAAAGTCAAATGCTCTAATTCGTCCTTCAACAAAATTCGGTTCAAACATCGCATGTGGTTCATTGCAGAAAAAAACAACTATATTCATTCCTAACGTTGTTGTTATGGGCTCCGTGCACAGTACCCTCCCCCCCCCCCCACCCCCAACGGTAAGAGAGGGAGAGTTCTGGTTGGAATCGGATCCGCAACCAGGGCCGTGTTTTTGGTGCTGTGACCGATATATCGGGACCGTTTTGCCGCTTTGGTTACGCTGAAATGACGTCAATGTTCCGAACAAACTTAAGACGAGACTTGCGATCGGTTCACTTCCGTTTCATGATAGCAGAAAGGTAAACAAGTTTTAGCAGACGACGTTATACTTTGATACCACAAAAGGAATTTAAACAGTGGGTTTGTACAGTCGGTTTGGTAAAGTTCATACATAACCATTACTACTCTGCATAGGGAAAGTACTTGAAAAGTAACTGCCCGACTTTTGATTTGTAAATTGTATAAAATGTCACAAAAATTCTTCGTCCCATGGTTGTCATGTTGGTCTGCTCATAACACTAAGTGTCAGTGTAGCATGAATTAAGGTTTTATGAAATACGGACTTGTTGATGGAATATTGCGCATGATGCTCATGCATATTATTGAGAGAAGGACTGGTCACGTGAGAGGGTTTAACCAATTAGAGGGGAAGAGAGTCTGATTTTCATAGAGTCCGATTTTATTAACACCGTCACGAACAATCTTTTTGGGCAAAATTGAGGGAGTTTCAAAATGGCCATCGCGTGTGTGCGAGGGCTTCACGGTCTTGTGTACACGCATAGGTCGAACGCTATCCAGTCAATATAATAGACATCAGTGGGTAACCGTCCCAAATTATACTGGTGAGTGTGCTGCCACCAAGAGACTATAAAGAGATATGCCAAAGTCACTTATTTTTCTTACCACAGCTAAGTACAGGGTCCTCATCTTCGCCGCCAATGCAGTCTGTTTTTCCATCACACAGTTCACGGAAATAAATGCATTCTTGGCTGTACAAGCACGTGATTTGATATTGGCCGCATATCACAGGAGGAGGAGGGAAGCTACTCTGACCTGCAACCAACAAGCAATGCATGCACGTCTCATGAAACACGAGGCTGTTATGGGTAAGCCTAAACAAGTTAACTACTACCGGTCTGTTGCTTCGCGGTGACAATCTCCGTCATTTTGTCGCGAAAAAACTTCACTTCGTTTATGTATGCTATGAGAACAGACTGATATCACACTCTTGAGCACCGCAATCAATGAAGCTTTTCCAAATGCCACTTCCTTAAGAAGCAACAGCAGAGGCAAAAACAAGCTAGCAAGCAAAAACACGCTCGAGCAAGCAAGTAAGCAAGCACGCAGGCACACTTGTTTTGTTTTTTTAAATAGAAGGTGTTACCTTGATGAATATTTTTGGTTAATTTGTCATGGTAAAAAGAAATAATCGATTGTTGTTATTTAACACTTACTTCTCCTCGTCCTCTCCATCTTTGAAATCGGATTGAATAAGGTAATACATGTGATTGTGATTGGCCGCATTGACAAAACAGATATATGCAAACAACACGACCCACCAACAAAGATATTAGTTGACAAACAATCCCCCCTCAAATAGAATATAAATGATGACAGGCAACCGTTGCTGGATCACGGGAATTAATTCTTTGAAAATAAAGACTGCAGTTTTCGCCAACACAATCCTGGCTGTAAATGTATCACGCTTATTCTTTTACGAAAGCCATATAGAAAGTATTTTCAACTTTTGATTATTAGCTATTCATAAAAACCTAATACAGTTTACCCATTCCTATTGGTCGAGAGCCCGTCACGTGGCTGGTCTTAAACGGATGATAAAGACTTTGGGCAAGTACACGCAAGAACTATTGTTGATCAATAGTTAACCATACTTCGACTAAAGTTAGCCAGACGCTAGTCGACTAGCTGGTTATCAATAGCAATTTCCATACCATAGTGCAGAGGGGACCAACAAAAATGGCAGACAATGAAACTGTGAGCGCTAAATTTCATTTTCATTGCACAGTTTTTCCATGTTAGTTTACAATTATGTCACTTTTTAACCTTTGTACAAATAATATTGGCAATTATGTAATATTTCCTAAATTATACATAATCACTGTTATTATGTAAATAAAGGGAAACAAAAAGAAATGAATAATTGTGCAACCGCCATTTTCTGACGGTCGTTGACATGACAATGGGCTCCGTGCGCCAACGAAAGAGGGCGCCCTTTTACCTAGCAACGACGTCCCATGGGCGAGACATTTAGCTACTTGACGCGCACCGTTCCTTGTGTGTGACCATACTGTGACGCACGTACACCAGGGTATTTGTACTATGTACACGCAGTGGCACGGCCGCGCGTCGCGGCAAAATTGCAGTCAGGCAAGATGGCGTCGGTCGGTCACCCCAAACTGTACTTTCTTTGTCGGTTAGGGGGCGACTTGTGAACGGAGCGGATAGTTCGACTACTAAGAGTCGTCCGCACTTCAACTTCAGTGCGCTTGCGCCAGGTACGTCACGAACCAACCACTAGTTAACCACTGGTCCTTGCCCAAACTTGCCCATGACTAGCTGGTCTTAAACAGTTTTCCAGTGTCACTTGAAATTTTCACTTTCCTCACGTAGGCATGAGCAATACTACAGGTGAATCAGTATTTCATAATCCGAGATTCACACTACACCAGCCCAGCTGCGTTAATTGCCTGACGTTGCGTGGTACGCGCGACGCGCACGCCAATCTCCTTATAATGTAGGGAGTTGTAGAGGGACATTCCATATTATAGTCAGAGGGGTGTTCCATAAAACATGAAGTAAAATAGTTGACAAAAATGGTTGGCAACATCCAGTTTTTTAATTGTTTTGATTTTGGACCGAAAAGATTTGTTTGTTTTGATTACCGAAAAGGTATTTGTGAATGGGAATAAATGTGTGCTTGGTCGGTATTAAACACTCTGTTTAAGACCGGTTGGAGTCTGGAGTGCTGATAATTGACCTATCGCGGTAGAATCGCGTTAGAATCGCGTCAACGCAGCTTGTGAAATATTGTCAAATTACATGATAAACAAAATGGACGTGGAATGCGCAAAATCTGAGACAAACAAAAGTGAGTGTACAAACAAAAATAAGGTTATCTAAGGGGCGTTGCTTACTCGCAAATCGCGATAGGTCAATTATCACCCATCAAGACTTCAACCGGTCTGAAACAATTTTTTTTTATACCTCCCGAACACATTTTATTCCCTTATTAAAGTACTGGTCTTCTTGTTGGTTTGCAGGCATGCGTATTCAGCGTACGGATACCTTTTAGGTATTAGTTTGCGCAAACATCATGTGAAATTAATCTCTTGGCGCCAATCCTGGCATGGCACAGTCATCAATGTCTTTGAAAACGCACAGGAAAAGCTAATATTCAACAGGGAAAAAAAAAAAAATAGTTGCAATGACATATTGATTCCAAAGGACGAACAAGTCCCATCCATGCAAATGGCGCCATTCTGACATGGATCGCTGCTACATTCGTCGATGTCTTGTGGCAATGCCGCATGAAGAAACAAAAATCGTGAAGCAATTTGCATGACATTTTGATCCATACAATTTTGCACCATTTGGACATTTAAATTCTGCTTATTTCTTTAAACAAACGTTGCAATTGCATATTTTCTCTCTATTTTCTTTCTAAGGTAATTTGAACATGTTGTGTGCGAAACATGTTTTTTTTTCCAGGGAGGTATACATTCCATCCGCTTGACTGAGCTCAGGCGGAGCTCGATTGGAAGACAAAATATTAGCACACCTCAAACAATGAGTTCTACTTCTTTTTTGAAAGGGTAACAACCTTGACATTTGATTGTTATGTAATGTCGTGCAACAATGAACTTAAATTACAGCTCCTTGGGTAGATGATCTTAAGACTGACAGGAATAATCGGAGTTTGGTAACTTGTATTTAATTTTGCATAATATCACTATTCTTGCGACTTTTGTTTAGATTTTTTTCACCATACATGGTTAAAGGGCTTTACTTTACTACTTTGTGAAGAAACAATTGATATAGTTTAAATAAGTATAGGTGAAAAGTGCTGTCAAAGTGGATTTCCTTTATTTTGAACCAGCCTGTAGAGGAGAACATCCTGCTTAAGTGACCACAGTGAAGCGTGGCGGATAACAATGGAACCTCGACGTTTGCCTGCCCGTTTTAGACCAACATAGTCTTCTTGTTTTCAGGCCTGCGTATTCAGCGAAAGGATACTATTATGTTAAGTTTGCGCAAACACCATGTGAAATAAATCTCTTGGCGCCAGTCTGGCATAGCAAAGTCATTAATGTCTTTGGAAAAAAAAAACAGGAAAAGCTAATATTCAACAGGGACAAAACCAACACAGTTGCAATGACATTTTGTTTCCAAAAGGACGAACAAGTCAAGGCAAGTATTTGTTGTGGAGCACTAACCAGTTTCACAGAGATATCCCGTGAAGCCAGGAGCACACACGCAGGTGAACGCGTCGATACCATCCACGCAAATGGCGCCATTCTGGCATGGATCGCTGCTACATTCGTCGATATCTAGTTGGCCATGCAGCATGAAAAAAAAAACATCCGTGACATTTGATTGTTATGTAATGTTACGCATCAATGAACTTACGCCGACAGCTCCTTGGGTAGATGATCTTAACACTAGCAGGAATAATTGGATTTTGGTGAATTGTACTCAAATTAGCATAATCACTATTCTTGCGAATTTTATTTAGATTTTTTTTTCACCATAAATAGTTAAAGGGCTATACTCTGATACTATGTGAAGATAAACAACTGAAATAAGTTGACTAAGTAGGTGAAAATTGCTGTCAAAAGTGGATGTCCTTTATTAAGAACCAGCCAGTACAGATTGACCCCAAAAATGCAACCCTGAAACATTTGCCTTTTTTGTGCATGTCCTAATATTAAGGAACAAAACGGCAAATAATATGACAAGACTACAATTGAATTTGATGGTTAAACCTTCTATTTTCCACCATCTGTCTCATGTTTATTGAGTGTACGGGCACATCCTGACCACTGTTTAGAATTGTTCTGACCAATCTTCTTTCTTTCTTGTTTTTCCGGACAATACTGCTATTCTCGTTTTCTCCTAAACGGTATATGGTATGAACTTGTAACTTTCAACATATATCAACCCTTATCCGAAGTGGTACAATTTACTCTGACGTTATGATGACGTCAGCGGGAGTCAAATTACAAGCGATGTGCATAATGGTAGGTTTGCGCCAACATCATGTGAAATTCATCTCTTGGCGCCGTTCTGGCAAGGCGGAGTCATCAATGGCTTTGGAAAAAAAAACAAGAAAAGCTAATACTCGACAGGGACAAAACCAAAATAGTTGCAATGACATTTTGTCAGAGTTGTAACGAGTCACTGATTTTTGTGACTCGAGCCGAGTCGAGTCATTTTGAAGAAGTGACTCGAGTCGAGTCGAGTCATTAGGTCAAGACGGTCGAGTCGAGTCGAGTCGAGTCACAGTGTGTAGTCGAGTCGAGTCGAGTCGAGTCGAGTCAGGCATTTAGCTCGAGTCAATTCGAGTCACAAACATTTGAGCACTTTACAATAAATAAACACAAAAGAGAAAGTCATTTTTTGGCTTTTTAAATTTTACATTCGGGCTACTTCATGTGGCGACACCACATTTGCCTCTTAATGAAAATAAAAAGGGATTGCCAGCTGATCGTCATTCAACTAATGGGGACACTGATCAAACCACGTATGTATATGTATACATTATTCGTGAACATTCTAACGTGACGTGAACAAAAACCGGCACCGGCGTAAGTCATTGCAAATATTTTTCGCAAAGTTTTCCTTTTAATGTTGGGACTCGAGTCTCATTAGCCTTCATCGAGTCGAGTCGAGTCATTCTGATGAGGGACTCGAGTCGAGTCGAGTCATTTGCTCGCAATGACTCGAGTCGAGTCGAGTCATTTGCCCTTAGGGACTCGAGTCGAGTTGAGTCACCAAAAATCGTGACTCGAGTCAGACTCGAGTCGAGTCATTGACTCGAGTCATTACAACTCTGCATTTTGTTGCCAAAGGACGAACAAGTCAAGGCAAGTATTTGTTGTGGAGCACTAACCAGTTTCACAGAGATATCCCGTGAAGCCAGGAGCACACACGCAGGTAAACGCGTCGATACCATCCACGCAAATGTCGCAATTCTGGCATGGAGCGCTGCTACACTCGTCGATATCTAGTTGGTACGGAAGCGTATTTAGGACATGACCGAAAATATTTTTTAGGCCCACTACTTCGCCCGGGTGGATTACTGTTTCGCCCGGGCGGATTACTATTTCGCCCGGGCGGATTACTATTTCGCCCGGGCGGATTACTATTCCGCCCGGGCGGATTACTATTCCGCCCGGGCGGATTACCAATTCGCCCGGGCAGACTACTAATTCGCCCGGGCAGATTACTAATTCTCCCGGCCGGGCAGACTACTAATTCGCCCGGGCGAATTACTAATCCGTCCGGACGAAATAGAAATCCGCCCGGGCGAAATAGTAATCCGCCCGGGCGAAATAGAGGGCCGGATAATTTTTTGTTGGTCATGTCCTTAATACACTTCCGTAAGTTGGCAATGCAGCATGAAGAAACAAAAAATGGTGTAGCAAATTAAAGTGCATGAAATTTTGATCCACACAGTTTTGTACAATTTTGAAATTTAATTGCTGCTTATTTTCAAAGAGGCGTCGCCTCGCTCACTATAACCTATCGCGGTAGAATCACGTCCAATTACATGATATACAAATGGAAGCAGAACGCGCAAAATCTGAGACAAACAAAACGTAGCGTACAGAAATTTTATATCCCGTGAAGCCCTCTAGGGGCGTGGCTAACTCGCAATCGACGATAGTTTAACTACTGTGATATGTCCTTTCTAAGCGCACTGCAGTCACACCAGTCACTTGCTGGTATTTTGACCTGTTATATGCTCGGTCTCCCTCTTATGGCACGCCAAAGCGGAATTTTATGTCAACATTTAAAAAATATATGTCAACATTTTAAAAAAATATGTCAACATTGTAAACAATATGTCAACATTTCAAAAACGTATGTCAACATTTAAAATATATATGTCAACATTTCAAAAACTTATGTCAACATTTCAAAAATATATGTGAACATTTTGAAAAAATATATGTCGACATTTCAAAAACTTATGTCAACATTTCAAAAATATATGTCAACATTTTTAAAAATATATGTCAACATTTCAAAAACTTATGTCAACATTTAAAAAATATGTGTCAACATTTTTAAAAAAATATGTCGACATTTAAAAAAAAAAAAATATGTCAACATTTTAAAAAATATATTAATACAAGCTATATCAAGATTCACGGACCAACGAGTTCGATTACCTCTAGCTCTCGGCGGAATGAGGTTGCAGCAGCTTTAGTCTGGTTCCAAAAATTCCATTAGGGGTGCACTGAACCAATTCAAGCCCCATTGAAAACAGTGTAAAATCAACAAAGTTCAGGGCCAAATAACATGCAAGCCGACATCACTGGGCTTTCTCAAACAAAAAATTAAATTATTGTCTTGAACTTCATCTTTTCATTTCTTTTCAATTTTAAGTAGATTAGCCGAGTACATTTTTAAATATTCACACCAAAACAAAATCACCTCCCGAAAAGTGATAGTTCCCAAGCCTGCATGTAGCCGTTTTACAAGTGGCATCCTTCCACTTTCTCAGGCAAATAGGACCAATTTTTCAACCGTAATTTTATTAAGCTTGCCCTCAGATGGAAGCCCAAAAACCAGGGAGTTGATCCTTGGCTATTTTTACACAATTCCACCGGTTTTCTTTTAAGCCAAACGGTCTCCGTTTTCAAAAGAAACTGTGGGGTCACTTTTTATTCTAATCAGCTCGCGTAGAAATTCTCACTTGAATTAGTTCACTGCACCCTCTTGGGTGGACTTGGTAGACTCCATAGCACCGCCCGCGTAATTTTTTTTCCTAGGAGGGTTAGGGGCAATGTCATGAATAATTCAGTATTTCCTTTGAATCATTGCAAGACTTAGGTTCTCGTTCTATTTTCCCCTTAATTTAAAAATATCTCAGTGATAAATTTGGAGAAGAAAAATAGCTGATGAAAATGAACAGCGACGACGTGGATTCGAACCAGGGATCTTCGTATCCATAGCTCATCTCGCTATCCACTAGGCTACTGTGTGGTAGCTCGAAGACAACCGTTCTTTAAAATGTTTTAATGTATTGTAACTAGTTGAGTAACTAACAACAATGCTGTTGATGTCATTGTCCGTTCTCATGGATAAACATGAATTATTCATGACATTGCCCCTAACCCTCCTAGGAATAAAAATTACGCGCACCGCCCGAGGTCGTCTGGTACCCAGACCAAAATATTCTGACTATTCCTGATGAATCTTAGGTCTGGTCAACCTCGTCCCCATTGCTTACTTTATTTCCAACCGCGTTTCCAATAGTAAACCCTGGATAGGAAACTTTCTTCCTGTATCCTGATTGGATACCGCAATTGGCTAGTAATGAATTTTTATCGTGTACTTGGTGCTATTATTCACAACGTGCAGTACGTGTTTTCGCGGTCATTCGTCCACGCCTTCTCGAAAATACTAATTTCCTTTCCAATTTGCTCATATTAATATGAAATATGATACTGCATGTTGTCTCGAAAAGATCGTAACAGTTTGATTTCAAAAATCGAATTGACTCTGTTTTTACCCCAGACACCGCATACAAAAACAAACGCTAATGTTTAACGCATATCCAGGCACCAGACTGTTTCATTTGCATACGTGTTCAAAAATCTTGCACCTGCAAATGATCCAATACCAGGGTGAGAGAGCAGGTAGTGGTGGGCGCGTACTGCTCGACACCCTGGGGACGAGGTTGAAGTCCGGTAGCCTCCGGTAATACAATGTATTACAATTTACGTCACGTGACTAAAACGGGAGGAATTCCTCCTTTTTCCGAAAATTTCCGAAGTTTGCCGAAGTCGTTTCGTCGACAATCGGATAGCGCCTGAGTATTTCCGAGTATATAATATAGGTTTAATTAACTGCTAATTGCTTATTAATTTGATTTTAAATGAGTTGGTAATTAATATTTATTGTTTTCATTTAGAAAACTTGAAATTCAACGACGATTTTGTGCATCAAATGTACTCGGATCGTACGGGCGAACTTTTTGCTGCGTCATGTACAATTTTGAATTTGACGACCGTTACCGAGATTTTCCAAAACTCGGTCTTCATTCGGCTCCGCCTGCTAACAGTGCTATTTGGTTCCCTATTTTGAAGATTCCAGATCAACATTATTCAATGTTATCTTACAAAACATCAAACTGTATTATAATAACTGTATGATATTACGAAGCAAGTGATTTATTTAAAAACTTTGATCAGAACATTAAAAGCTTCAAGTGATAAAGCGAAATCGGAAACGAAGCCGCGCTTTGAAAAAGGGCCATTAATGTCGTCATGTTTATTTTTAGCCACGGAGGCTGCCTGACCTACAATTAAAGACGTGAGCGTCGGGAATAATTGTCAGGTCTGGGAACCAGACTACGCCCGAGGAAAAGTAAGCACAGCGGACACATGAACATGTATCGTGCTCATGTAACGTGCACTGTAACGTGCTCAATTATCCGCCGCATTCACCCGCAGCATACTTCGCGCATGTACTCCGTCGTGGCGGTCACGTGAATGTTGGCATATATTTTTCATCGGGTAGTGTTGACACATATTTTTGGACAAAATTTTGACACGTATTTTAGGTGAACTTTGTCGCAGGATGGGTTGACACATATATTTGTCAACAAGTAGTAATTTCTAGTTAATTAAAGAGAACAAATATATTTTTTTTAAATGTTGACATTTTTTTTAAATGTTGACATATATTTTTTAAATGTTGACAAGTTTTTTAAATATTGACATATATTTTTTTAAATGTTGACAAATATTTTTGAAATGTTGACATAAATTTTTGAAATGTTGACATACGTTTTTTGAAATGTTGACATATATTTTTTAAAAAGTTGACATATATTTTTTAAATGTTGACATACGTTTTTGAAATCATGACATATATGTTTTTAAATGTTGACATACGTTTTTGAAATGTTGACATATATTTTTTAAATGTTGACTTACGTTTTTGAAATGTTAACATATTGTTTACAATTTTGACATATTTTTTTTAAATGTTGACATTTTTTTTAAAATGTTGACATACTTTTTTAAAATGTTGACATATATTTTACAATGTTGACATACTTTTCAAAAAAGTTGTGATGTATTTTATAATGTTGGCAGTTGCCGTGCAGGGTTGAATAAATTCCGCTTTTGCGTGCCATACCCTCTAAAGCCTTTTTTGTCTCAACTCTCAAGAATGCGCAATCCAAGCTCACCAGTGCTACCGCGTATAATCTATGTGATTAAACCTCCAAGGACCGCAAAAGTGGTGTAAAGTAAATGACCTATGCGAGTGGGCCATGCCTATTTTGGCGACCCTGTGACATTTTGTACTTCAAGTGTTGTTTGTCTCAGATTTTGCGCGTTTCGCGTCCACTTTTATATCATGTAGACATAATTGGACAATATTTCACAAGCTACGTATCGCGATAGGTTAATTTCGGCTGAAGTCTACCGACCTCCTTCCACCCCCTCTCCGAAAAAAAGAAATTTGTTGCTATCTTCCAATGCCCGGCCAAAAGAACTATACCCGTAGCAACCAAAGTACTATACCGTATAGCAACCAAAGTACTATACCCATAGCGCGGTATTTGTGTGCAAAGGTATGCTGCTGTGCGCGTTGAGCGTTGCGCGTTGCGCGTCGCGCTTATTGTTCACAAGAGAGAGCGCACGACGGAGTTTCGTTCAAACATATTTTCCAGAAGGGGTGGCTTGGAAGAGAGAACAACGTTTCCCACGAATTTTGTTAATAGAAGTTTATTTTAACTGTAATCAGATTTAATTGATTAAAAATATTAAAAACCAAGCAAACTCTGTGAATGAAGTGTTATAATACAAATATTAAATGCTCTATCTCTTCGTGAAGTAAAACTAGCCTCCCTCGGTGATCCATGGAGCATTCTATTTTCCCTCGGCTTCGCCTCGAGAAAATAGAATGTCCATGGATCACCTCGGGAGGCTATAGTTTTACTACACTACTCGAAGCATTCCATATTTGTTTACTATCCGCCCATTGAGAATGGGAAATACTATTGAACAGTTAAGATCATTCTTGTTCAAAGACGCAGTATTTGTGTGCAAAGGCATGTTGGTGTGCGCGTTCAACGTTGCGCGTAGCGCGTATTGTGTCAAAGAGCCAGCGCTACAGAGTGGGGTTTAAACATTTTCGTAGTTTGGAAGAGAGAAATACATTTCCCATCAATTTTGTAGTGAAATAAAAGTTCAAATATATCAAGGATCTATTTGTCATTTATACAGGGTGGATCAAAAAAACAAAACGAAACCGAGATATTATTGCTTGATTGTAACAAGAGTAGGGCACATGTGAATCAAAGAGAGATATCCTCTGTTAGGGTTGAATCTCCTTTTTAAAATAATACCCTGGTCATGTCATTACATTCACGGTTGACTGAGCAGTGCCCATTTTATGAAAGGGTCTATTTAGAGACTTGCGCCAATTTTCAATTGTGGTTTGTGTTGCGTCTTTTGTCACAGTGTGAAAGGCTATGGTTGTCAAACAAGGCAGGTGGAAAAAAAAGAGATTTCACAATGAAAAGTGGCGCACATGAATTCAAAATGTCTGCGCCCAGGACGGCTTTAAAGTATCTCTGCGGGGGGGGGGGGGCGAGGAACTAGCTCTTTGGTTTAGATAATGTAAACGGATTACTTACCTACTAGACGAACTTGATGGCGTCGCGCAGTTCCCTTCTTTGTTGGATGGGACATACATATCCCTGAAATTAACGAAATAAGAGGCTTTTAGTAAGGGAAAAAAATGTGTGCTTGGCCGGTGTCATATGAAAATCGAACTCGTATGAAAATCGGACTCTTTTTCCATTTATTGGTTAAACCTTCTCACGTGACCTGTCCCTCTCCTTATTATCTATGTATGAGCATGCACAATACCACCAATGAGTCCGTATATCAAAAAACCTATACAGTTTATGCTATACCGGTATTAAACACTATGTTTAATACCGGTTGGAGTCTGGATGCTGATCATTACCCGAGCCATTCTGAGTGAGCATTGGAATGGCTGGTCACTGATCACCCACTGGCCATTTTGAGTGAGCATTGGAATAGCCAGTCACTGATCACACACTGGCCATTCTGAGTGAGCGTTGGAATAGCCAGTCACTGATCACACACTGGCCATTCTGAGTGAGCGTTGGAATAGCCAGTCACTGATCACACACTGGCCATTCTGAGTGAGCGTTGGAATGGCTGGTCACTGATCACCCACTGGCCATTTGAGTGAGCATTGGAATAGCCAGTCACTGATCACACACTGGCCATTCTGAGTGAGCGTTGGAATAGCCAGTCACTGATCACACACTGGCCATTCTGAGTGAGCGTTGGAATAGCCAGTCACTGATCACACACTGGCCATTCTGAGTGAGCGTTGGAATAGCCAGTCACTGATCACACACTGGCCATTCTGAGTGAGCGTTGGAATGGCCAGTCACTGATCACACACTGGCCATTCTGAGTGAGCGTTGGAATAGCCGGGCACTGATCACACACTGGCCATTCTGAGTGAGCGTTAGAATAGCCGGTCACCGATCACACACCGGCATTCTGAGTGAGCGTTGGAATAGCCTGTTGTGATACTTCATGAGCACTACTTTGTATGCGCGCAAGCACATTAGGTGAACAGTTCGCCCGCGCTCACTCTTACATTATGTCTGATGAATAAAGCTGCAGTGGCACAGAACCTGAGAATAATCTCCTCTAAGTTCTTCATTGATTCATCTCACTTCATGGTGGCAGCGGTGGTAAAAAAAGGCCAGAGAACACCCATACCATCACTCTCAACTAAGCAGAGTTACTGAAAACTACCGGAAAGTAGCAGAAATTGTCTCCGCGACAACAACGTTTCCGCTGTGATCGCCAGTGTGAACTGTACATATCCATATGTGTACTCGCCGCGTGCGTAGATTCAGCGCACCACATCACACACTGTATGCCGCACACCCACCGTCGCCAAGCCCACTGCACACCGCACGCAACGTAACTGAAATTCAGCTGCGTGCGTAGCCTAGCCCGGAGTCATCGCCGGACTGAGCCAAGCCTAAGCCATCACCGAGCCAACGCTGAGACGGACCGCTATACCGTGCTGTGGACAGCACGGACAAGAGAAAATTAACCCCTCGCCCCGAGTCGACCATCGGCATCATAGCGACAGAGGACTTTTTCGTCTTTTTCGTGGAGCTGAGTGAAAGCTGATCAAGCTCCGATTTGACGCGACCGCACCGGGACTCGACCGAGCTTACTCGACCCGTACACACGGTCGACCGGTCAGGGACCAGCCCGTCGCACCATCGCGTGACCAAGGCAAGTCACTACAATAACTTTGTCAAAAGTCTGATCTACGGGAGTGATCATCAGCCCCCCCCCCCCCACCCAGCCAGTTCACGTAACAATGTACACCTTTGAATCACCTTCATATTGTTAAACATTGTTTCGCTATCGTGCACACATTCTTGTAGCTGTGCGTATGAACAAATAGTTCCGTGAACATCACAAGCCCTGTGAACCGCTTCACGCATCTTTACGTCAAGTGTGACCTTTGACCCTATCACTCCGCATCATTGCCGGAACTGTGCGCTTCCCGCTCATCACAGTGAACATTCGCCGTATTCATCCGCCAGTGCCGGTGTGGCAGGTAATTCTGTCCCCCCTGGTAAATGTGTCCCCCGGACAGATCTACCGGGTCGTGACCCGGTAAATCTGTCCGGGGGACACTTTTACCTAGGTAAACCTGTCCCCCTCTAGGTAAATCTGTCCCCCTGCACGACGTTAAATGTGTCCCCCCTGGTAAATGTGTCCCCGTGCAACGTCACAAGTCTAGCACCCAGACTGTATATTAGTGAAGTTATTAACTGTTTTTGCGCGGCGCCTTGCCAAATTCGGGAATGGTGCTTAGGCCTACGTCAAAGCACAACTCCCGCAGCAGGCCTGTGGCGCGCCGTGACCCGTGTCGCGTATAATTTTGCCAATTCTCCTCATTGAAGTCCGCCATGACAGTCACACGTGAATCGGCGGCTGATGCGCGTGCGCAATAGCGATAGGTTGAGTATTACTACGCGAACGCGTGCCTTCTTGCAGAAACATAGATCGGTTGATTAACATCTAAACGTTAATTTCATTTTGATAATTATTGATGAAGGGTGGAAAAATCTAAAAATGTATACCTGTGCGCTGAATTTATTATAATAGCATCAATATAACAACTTATGCGTGAAAAACCAGGGGGGACAGAATTAACTGGAGGGGACAGAATTACCTGGAGGGGGACACAATTAACGGGACAGGGGGGACACTTTTACCTAGGTAATTATGTCCCCCCGGACACTTTTACCGGGGACAGAATTATCGTCCACACCGGAACTGTGCATCAATCATATCTACGGGAGGCCTGTACGGGACATCAAGTCAAGTTGGAAATCTGACAGTACATCGCTCATTTCTGTGGAAAAGCAGGACAAACTGTGTTTGGACATTCTTGGAGAAAGGACTGCTCACCAAAAGAACTCTGGACATTTCATATATGAACAATAATATGTGTTTTGACAAATATATTGATGAATAGTCAAAATTATTACTGAAATAATTATATTGTTGTGATTTATTGTGATCACTAATCGTAGCACTTACCTTTAAGCTACATTGCAGTTGCTATTGTTTACAATTTCGTTTGTTGTAGCATATTGAATTGTATCCCAGAGATTTCTATCCCACAGCCCTGCATCATGGCAAAGTTCCCAGAAATAAACTGGGGTGCCACAGACATCGCAGAAGAGTTTAAGCTTTTTAAACAACGGATGGACCTGAGCTTCAGGGACCAGGAAATCACCGATCCTGCCAAGCGTGCTGTTAAGATACAAATAGCAGTCGGAACTGAAGGCCTCAAAATGATAAATTCTTCAAGCCTGTCAGCAGAAGAACAACTGATCCCCAACCAGTTATGGGAGTTGTTCGAGAAGCAGCTACACATCAAAGTGAACTTCCGCATACATCGCCTGGAGCTTATGCGGTATCGCCAGAAACCAGATGAATCCCTGGACAACTTCGTCAACAGATGCTGAGCAAAAGCACACGAATGTAACTTTGGACCAGAGCAAATGACGGAACGCATCATCGAATTAGTGATTGCGTCTACCACATCTGAATCTTTCCAGAAAGATCTTCTAGACAAACCCATTGGTTTTATCATCGATGACATGCTACAAGAGGGACGGAAGTACGAAGCCATCCTTGCTGGCAAAAAGTGCCTTGAGACGTTGGAGGCGTCACATACAGCTGTCCATGCTTTCCGACCCACTGGCAGAATCTGTGGCAACTGTGGCCTATCCCACCCACCAAGACGGTGTCCTGCCTACCGGGACACATGTAAATCATGTGGTTCCAAGGGCCATTGGGCCAAATTCTGCAGAAAGACCCGAAGCCAGGGTAAACGCAAGGGCAAATCTCCGTCCAGACGTGGCCGCAGCCCATCGCGAGGAAATACAACTCGCAGACCAAGACCCAAAAGTCGATCCAATGCCGGCAAGCAGAAGCCAAATGACACCAACAGAGATGAACAACCCATCCATTCAGCAGAAGCTTCAGAGGAATATGAAACAGTATTCCACACAGTTACTGTCTCGAACCTCTGCATGAGCTCGATAGACAACAACAGGGAGGCATACACAACGCTTGACGTTATCTGCCCCGACCTCATCGGCACACACCGACTAATCACAAAAGTTGACACTGGAGCCGGAGGAAACACGTTGCCACTCCGTACGATCAAACAGATGTATGGAAGTCGATGGAAGTCTTTCGTCCAGCCTGTGAAGACCAAGCTGACGGCGTACAACGGTACAGAGATTGTATGCCTAGGGTGCTTGAGCTTTTATGCCGCTACAAGACACCGAAGTGGAAAAAGAACAGATTCTACGTCGTAGAATCTGGTCTGCCCATGTGCTGCGAGCTTGAAGTGGTCACCATCCACTCCACTGAATCGTCACCTCAACCCCCTGCATCACCCAAACAACCAGGAGTAGGTGAACCCCAAAATCTGTCACATGACACCATCAAGTCGGTCCACGACCTCGTGAGGTTGTACCCCAACCAATTTGACACAATTGAAAACTTCAAAGCCAGAGCAACTCTTCATCTAAAGGAGGATGCTAAACCGAGCATTGACGCGCCCAGGAAGTGTAGCATACACCTGAAGCCGAAGCTCAAAATAGAGATCGACAAGATGGAACAGCAAGGTGTAATTAGAAAGGTCACCCATCACACCGACTGGTGTAGTTTGATAACCACGAGCTTGAAACAAGATGGGACACTTAGGGTCTGTCTGGATCCTAAGCGGCTGAACCAGAGCCTCAAGAGATGTCCGCACAAAATACCCACACTGGAGGAACTCAACCCAGCATTTTCTCAAGCCAAATTCTTCTCGAAGCTTGATGCTAAAGCTGGGTATTGGTCCGTCAAGCTCAAGGAAGAATCCCAAGAGCTGACCACCCTTCGAACGCCATTTGGCCGGTACTGTTTCCAGCGCCTTCCATTTGGTCTCTCCATCAGCCAAGACATCTTCCAGCAGTGACGACATCATAGAACAGGTTCCAGGATGCGTCGGCATTGCTGACGCTGTTGCTGTATATGGCCGTACTGAGGAAGAACACGATGCCAACCTCCTGAATCTACTTCAAACAGCCAGCCGTGAAGGTTTAGTTTTCAAAAGCAACAAATGCCACATCAAGACCAACCAAATCAACTTCTTTGGGTCACTGTACTCCGACACCGGCATCCGGCCGGACCCAGGCAGAATTGAGGACATCCACAGCATTCCAACACCTCAGGACAAGGAAGACCTGCAAAATTCCTAGGCCTGATCACATACGTCTCTGCATATATCCCTAACCTGGCAGACAAAGCAGCGACCCTCAGGGATCTCCTGAAGAAGAATGTGCCATATCTGTGGCAGGATGACCATCAGGCAGCATTCGAAGCCTTGAAATATTCCATCACCACTGAAGCGTGTCTCCAGTACTACAACCCAGAGATACACACTGTGCTGGAAGTCGACGCATCATAGAAGGGTCTGGGAGCCTGCCTCCTTCAAAACAACAGGCCGAATGCATTTGCGTCGAAGAGTCTTTCCCCGGCACAAGCCAACTACTCTAACATAGAGAGAGAAACACTAGCCCTAGTGTTCGGCATCACCAGGTTCCATAGCTATCTCTTCGGGAAAGAGTTTACACTCCACACTGATCACAAGCCACTTGAGATGATCTGGAAGAAACCCCTCTCGAGTGCACCACCTCGTCTGCAACGCTTACTAATTAAGGTGCAAGGATACAACTTTGACGTACAGTACATACCAGGGAAAACAATGACGCTATCAGATGCCCTGAGCAGATTGCCAAACCCGACAAAGAGTGATGACATACCCCTAGACAGACTGGTCGGCAGTTTTGATGTCTGTGAAGGCCAAGACGCCATGTGCATGGACCTTGTGCATTTTGGGCAGTCTAAGCAAGAGCAACTGCAGAGAGAAACAGCAACTGAGACCCTGTACTAAGTGCACTGTGTCAGATAATATACAGTGGCTGGCCAGACTCCGTCAAGGAACTACCTCGAGACCTACGGGTCTACTGGCCATACAGGGATGAGCTTGGTATCTCCTGGGGAATAATCTTCAAAGGAAGACAGGTCATCATTCCAGACTCACTTCAGACGGATATCTTACAACAGCTCCATACAGGCCATATGGGTATAGAGAAGACAAGACGTCTAGCCAGAGAGTCGGTCTACTGGCCCAACATCAATCGCCATATTGATGAACTTGTCAAAGCGTGTTCCTACTGCCAGGAATCCCAACCCAAACAGCAAAGGGAACCATTGGAGCCACATCAAGTACCTTCGACCCCCTGGACCAAACTTGGCACTGATCTGTTTGAAATCCACGGAGACAACTATCTACTGATAGTTGACTATCATTCGAAGTACCCTGTCGTTCACAAGTTGAACAGCACAACCAGTGCAGCAGTTGCTGGCATCACCTCACACACATTCAGCCTCCTTGGAGCACCAGCTGAGGTTATGTCAGACAACGGCCCCCAATTCGTAGGCAAACACTACGAAGACATGTGTAACACATGGGGCATCAAGAACACAACTTCGTCTCCACGTTATCCACGTTCAAACGGTTTCGTGGAACGTTCAGTCAGAACCGTCAAGTCAGTGATCAAGAAATGCCAGAAGTCTGGACAAAATGTCGACATAGCACTCTTGAACCTCCGTGTAACCCCTGTGGACTCCAAACTACCGTCACCAGCTGAAATTCTCTTCGGCAGACCGATACAAATTACCTTGCCAAACAACCACCTGCAAGCAAACCCCCAGAAAGCTGAGACCAGCTAGAGGCAAGACGACAAAAGATGAAGACCGACCATGATGCCAAACAAGCAGTAAAAGAACTCCCACAACTCTATGTTGGCCAACGAGTGCGAATCCTGGACCAGCAGAACCACACTTGGTTGCCTGGTGAAGTCACAACAGTCTGTAAGGAACCTAGATCATATGAAGTCACCACACCCAATGGACACAGACTACGTCGCAACCGTTCGCACCTACGTGAGATGCCCAGCCAGATGAAATCCCTGGCTACGCCCAAACGAGTTCGATTCGCTGATGAATCACTTCCACTGTCCAACAAGAAGCTAGACACAGAAGCTGTGAAACAAACAGACCGAAACAAAACAGACCGAAACAACACAGATCGAAACAAGTCTCCGACTGTCACTCGCAAAACAAAATCTGGACGCACAATCCGAAAACCAGCCAGATACACTGAATAATATCACACACCCAGATTATACATAGCAGATACTTAAACAATTTGGTTCAGAAACGATATTTCACATTTAATTTCATATGGAAACAAAACAAATAACCCACACGATTTGAAACAGAACTCAAAGTTTCATATGTTTATTAAACCCGTTTCAGTACATTTATTGTTGTTTAAAGTTAAATTTGTTAACCGTTCAAAAAGGAAGAAAGCAAGAAAGTGCCAAAGTCAAATTTCAAAAGAAAGAAAGTACTAAAGTTCACTTTGTTACTGTTGAAAACAAAACAAAAACACAAAAAAAACAAAAAAAGGACTAAAGTTAAATTTGTTACCGTTCGAAAAGAAGGTACTAAGACTGTGTGCCACATATTGCAGAGAAACAAAAGTTGTAGTTGTCAGTAAGATATGACCACCAATGTTTCATATGCCTGTCAATTGAAAAGCCATCACTACACATTTCATGTAAATGCTTGCTAATTAAGTAAATTCCAGTTTTATGTGTACACCAATAATTATTCCTGAAATTGTACTTTCACAAGGGGAGGGATGTTGTGATACTTCATGAGCACTACTTTGTATGCGCGCAAGCACATTAGGTGAACAGTTCGCCCGCGCTCACTCTTACATTATGTCTGATGAATAAAGCTGTAGTGGCACAGAACCTGAGAATAATCTCCTCTAAGTTTTTTATTGATTCATCTCACTTCATAGCCGGTCACTGATCATACACCGGCCATTCTGAGTGAGCGTAATAGCCGGTCACTGATCACACACCAGCCATTCTGAGTGAGCATTGGAATGGCTGGTCACTGATCACACACTGGCCATTTTGAGTGAGCGTTGGAATAGTCGTTCACTGATCATACACCGGCCATTCTGAGTGACCATATAGCCGGTCACTGATCATACACCGGCCATTCTGAGAGACCATATAGCCGGTCACTGATCATACACCGGCCATTCTGAGTGAGCGTTGGAATGACCGGTCACTGATCATACACCGGCCATTCTGAGTGACCATATAGCCGGTCACTGATCATACACCGGCCATTCTGAGTGAGCGTTGGAATGACCGGTCACTGATCATACACCGGCCATTCTGAGTGAGCGTCACTGATCACACACCAACTGGCTGCATCAACACATCACGGCACATATTACATTTTATCAGGTCAACAAGATAGAAATTGCATTAAAAAATAGAATAAACTGGACTTTTTTGGCAATATAATTTGTCCTTTTTTAAATATAGATTTTAGAAAATTGTTCTTATCGTGTTCTTTATCAACCGTTTTAAGCCGGCTACATGACGGCTTTTTACCAATAGGAATGGGTAAGCTGTCTTAGGTATTTATGAATGTCATAATGGTGTTTTTTTTAATTGATACACGTTTTGTTCTCAAATCATTCCCATCACAAAATGAACTACAGATTGATCATTTGTGGTTCCTCTACCAAGCGATGTTTTATTCCTAATTTTAGTTAACTTCGGAGAAAGAAAACTGATACATTTTGGGAAATTTTAAAATTCAAAATATGCCACAAATTGTTATACAGGCAAATAGCAAAGTATTTGGAAATATAAATAAATTAACCAGTTTGAGTTCGCGTACCTAATGTAGGTGACTTTTTAGACATATTCATCCGCAACGAAATTTTCAAAATTTATTTCCTTGAAGGAGGGTCCTGAAAACTCAGTACTTGTAACCGTAATTAACGGATAACTTCAATTTTGTCTCGAGAAGATTGGAACGCGCAAATGCTACAATGCATTTAGTCGAAGGTCATTCAAAATGATCAATGGTCAATCAATTTCAACATTTTGTCCATTGGATGTCGTCAGATTTAAATGGAATTTGTCTCATTATCATCTATATAATGTAAGGATTGAATTCGTCTTTGTTCAATCGATTTCAAGAAACTTTCGATCAAATTCATTAGACAAATGCGCATGCTGGTAGTATCATGCATGTATGTATTTGGCACGGTGTATTGCAAGACAGAAAATGAAGGTTTAACAACCAATCCAAAGGAAAAGACTGTTTCCAAAAGATGTGAAAATATGAAGCATTTTGCTTGAAAATGAAGGTAAACAGAGGTAAAATGATTTGATGTTGATGGTTTCTGATTGGTCGAAACTCGATCACGTGGCCGGGCATTAACGGTGATAATGGACCGGTGTCACATGAAAATCCGACTCCTATGAGAATCGGACCCCTTTTCCCTATTATTGGTTAATCCCTCTCACGTGACCGGTCACTTTCCTAATTACCATACTTACGCATGCGCGGTATTACCAATGAGTCCGAATTTCATAGAAACGTGAATTCACGCTACACCGGCTTCAAAGAACAAGCGAAAAAAAAATGGCCCCTGAACCAGCATTGATCCAGCCCCATGGAAGGCAATGATTGGCCAAATTTACAACAGTCATACGGTAGCTTGTAACAATACAGCACTGCACATGCGCTCAACCACCTTCGCGCGACACTGACGCGCGCGTACGCAACACAGTTGCTATGGGTGTGCGCGCGCGCGTAAGGAGGTTTTAAAACGACTGGACATCGTACGTACATGTATGTACATACAGCAGTGCAGTATCTGATATACTGAGGATGTTTACGACGAAAGCGTAGATCTACGATTTATTTTCTTTAAACACTTCGCCCAACGACATATTTACCTTTCCTAAACCAAGCATCTTTGTAATTCTGGACACGAGGAGTGTGTAAACAAAATTTCAGCTTCCTCCATCAGGTAAAAATATGAAAACATTGCTGTAAATATTTTGTTTCGCTACGGCAGCAGAAGTCCAAACCCTGGACGTCGCACGCGTACGCAATGAAGACGTTGTCCAACAATGTCCAGCACAGCCTGGGCCCGGCTGTTGGTGTATATAACAACGCTTATCGAAGAGACAGGGTACCACGCATAAGTTAGAATATGGCCCATGAACATGAACACAAAAAAGTCTGGAAATATCGCCGAAAGAAAGTCACAAAATTTGAGCATTTTAACTGTTTATTTCGTTAAAAAGGTATTTAACTGCGTCTCGATCCATTAACAGCGGTCACCCCCAAACCCGGTCATTATCACGCAGTGAAGACCGGCTCCTCACACTGTTATTCCCTTATTTATAGTTTAGCAATTGGATCATATAGGTTTTCCCGGCTATTTTAAAACATTTTTCGTCCAGAAACATCGATTTAGTGCACTTCCATTGTTTAATTTCGTCTTTTGTCAGACAATTTTAAGTTTAGTCCAATGAAATTCAAACAATGAGCACACGTTTTTGACCCGGAGTATTCGATTTTGTCTCGTCCACGCCGAATCGTGTTATTCAGAAACCAAATTCGTCTAATTGTTTTATATAAGACTTTTTTTTTCAATCATAGACATAGCAGGTATGTAATGTGTCACACTATTTTCCCGAAGAACCAGACCCTGAATCCACAGTAATCCAAATCATCCCAAAACTTAGGCCTTAAAAGTTATCATAAAATATATATATATGCAATAAATTCAGAATATGAGTGAAACAAACTTTGGCATATCTCTCTTCTGGACAGACTGTTTCGTACCATATTGAAACATCCTCAAAATGTGAAAATTCGACAATGCACGCCAACAAAACTGAACAGAACAGAACAATTTGCTACGCATCAAAGTTACATTACAAAATTGTCTTCCTGCTGTAAACAATTATAAGCGTTATTTATGACTAAATTTCAGCGTTAATAGTTGTGCTGAGCACTTTTTTTTAATTAAAGAACATTTAACGTGCATCTGCATTTTTGCCGTCTGTAACATATACCTTTAACAAGATTATAGGCAAACCAAGTAAACATCTTGCTGCATCTTGTATGCTACTGGAAGAAATGTATGAGTTTAGCTCGGAAATGAAATGTTTTGAATGTGCGCAACGGATGTGCGCGTTGCGAGTTTCACAAGACGTTGTTTGTGATAACGCCACCTGGATTTATCGTTCGCTCGTACCCCCCGCCCTGCAAACAGGACGCTGGGATACTCTGATGAATTCACGCTCTGTTAGGTTGGATTTTGCGTGACCAGTGACCTGCGCGTCATCAAGGTCATGACTCTGCAAGGTTAAGACTGATTCATTACTCTTTTATTCCAGTTTAGAGATGTTTTTTTCTCGTTGAAAAGCGTAATAATGTAGGAAATTCTGTCTAATAATGTAGGAAAAACTTATCTGTGTTGTAAATTTACAATTCCCGTCACTTGCTCAGGCTCTGTTTCGAATCACGAACGGTCGGATTGCATTATGCGACGCTCAAAAGTGTGTCCACATGGTCCGCAATGAAACAGAAATTACATCCGGTATGGAATGTGCGCATTTCTATGGGAAGTGTTCGGATAGCATTTGCGCACATTGTCTAACTGTGGTCTTGAACAGCTGCAGCCAGATGCGTTATACATTGGTCATAAGCCACTTCCTTCACAAGATTCTGTGAAGCTCATTAGAGTATTCCAGCGTCCTGTTTGCAGGGCGGGGTGTACGAGCGAAGATTTATCGCGGCGGTTTGTTGTCGCGTACAACGTCTTGAACCAAGACTTGTCAAAGTCACAAGTTAAAGTTACAGTGTGTCAGTCATTCTGTGAGATATGCACGTATCTTGCACTAGGCTTACACTCGGGACCAGTAAAAAGGTTTTAAGAATTGAACTGCACATCATAATCTACTTACCAAACAGCAAAGCTACGAAGAGCAGTGCGAAGACTAGACGTGTAACTTGCATGATGATTATGCTACAGATGTGGGGCTTCGTTGCTCGACTCCTTCAACCCCACTTATATTTATCCACTTTGAGGCATTGCTATCGTCATCAACAGGTGTACTTTTGGTTTAATTCAGATTCATTATTTCCTGCTTCGCGTGTCCCGAACTCGTATTTAAGTAATCGACCGTTAGATAAATTCCAAATATTGGTTCTCCCTTTTTCAAATATTTCACAAACGGTGCTTGCAAACATTACTCTGAAGTACACTTTTGCTTCTATTAAAACTTATGATTTTTGGCTCCAAGTACGCATGAGCCTTGTTTGATCGCCATATATATCCAAATAATTACCTGCATGCTTGGCAGGAATTTTGCTATTTGAAAAAAGGAATTTATAGAGTGATGCAACTTTGTTGGGTGATCGGAAACTTCCGCTCAATCACATCTAATTATTATTTATTTTATTTATTTTTCATAATAAATCTTTTGACATTAAATCGATATAACTGAAATAAAAAAAAAAACAGGAAAATATCGAGGGGACTCCCTTCACACCCAAAAAAAAACACATCAAAAAAATGGCCACCCACAGAACTGGAAAAACAGACTAAAGACAATGGGAATTCCTATTCAGGTAAAAAGGGCTGATAAAAAAAGGCTGCAAAATGGCTGATACAAATGACAAACCTTACAAACGAGCCACGTGTTTTAACATTATTAGAAATAACTCAAACTCTCCAACAACCGAGCTCGGGGAGGTTGGTGCAGGCAAAAATAAAATAGAAACTTGCGGGTAACACCATGTGGGAAAAAATCTCTTTTTGGAAGAAGTGTGGTTCTGAAAAGGACCAGTTGGTTGGTGTTTTCTATTTTATCTCATCCGCCATGCAAAGCTTCAAGTCATTGGCGCAGATGTGACTTTCCTCGCCTTCCGCCGATATGATCCGGGTTAGATTACATCATTTTACTACATACTCACAAATTACGTAAGTGTTTAGTGAGAAACGCCAACCCCTCCCCCCCCCAAAAAAAAAAAATCAGCATCAATACGTCATCAACCGAAAGTGCGTCCCCTTTTGGCATATCAAAGACAGTTTAACCTTTTAAAATAAAAAAAAAAAACACTCATCCAAATCTTACCAAATTACCCTTATATAGGTATTCTGTGGACAACCGCAAATGATTTAGCAAAGTGTTAGAATATGACATCATCATACCGGAAGTTACTGTAGAGAGAATTTTAGAATGATCATTTCTAAAAACGTGAATCCATAATTCGATCCGCGTCTAATGACTATGTTCATAGCACGTCGTGATATACGTTACAATGTTGACCTTGGGCTTGCAAAAGTCGTGACGTCATCAAACCGAAAGTTGGGTGTTATTATTACATACTCTTAAACATTAATTGTAATTTCCAGAAGTCCTTTTCTCTAAACTAAATCAATATTCACTTTGCACTTTTTAACATATGACGTCATCCATAACGTGTACGCGTTAATGAAATGTACACTGAATTTATTGAACCCCCAAAAGATACTTTTTCCAAATTTAAAACAACTGGTTGCACTGGAAAGGCTGAATTTTGTGATCATTTTTCTTGCTCTGAAAAAAAAGTATTCACAATTTAACTGGGCAATGTCCAAAGAAATAATTATCTGCCCAATCAACCTGGGTTCAGCAAACGCAAACATCTAGTTTAATTTTTATTTGTTTCACTTTTCCGTCCGTCAAAACGAATATTTGAATAATGAAGGAACCGGAAGTTTAAATATTAGCTCTAATTTTGTTTAAATTAATGGAGAAATAAGTGAACAAACTCACCTGGGGCTAAGGTAGCTTTTGGGAGGATTTCGAGTGACGTAAACGCTCGCGTGCTTCCATCGCCAGCTGTATGAACAATAGTTATCTCTGAACTTTGCAAAGCTAACCCTTATTTGTATTGACACCAAATACTTGGGTTTTTTTTGGTTATCTGAAGTAAGTTTCATTTCGTCTAATCAGCCAAACGGTTGCGAAATACATTATTTTCAATAAAATAAGCTCAAATTACAGTTACTATGCATTTTGATATTCGCGGGCAAAATGTTGAACATCAATTTCGCCCGTTTTGAATATACCGTATCTCCATGCCACTTTCGGAGTTTGTTTCCCTTGTAATAATCCAACTATGTGCTGAAACCATTTCGATATTTTGAGTTTGTTTCATTGAAATTGGAAAAAAAAAGGCTACAGTACGTCCATTTTTCAAAGCTGTAGCAAATGGTGTTTGCAATATCTGTCAACCTTTTCAAGCCTCACTAATATAGGTTTTCCCGGCCAAAGACTCACTAATATACGTTTTCCCGGCCCATTTATCAAAGTTTTCATTCAATTTAACGCCTGGCTCATTCAATTTAGATTGAAATTGAAAGATCACGCACATCATCATTCCGCAATCAAAAAGAATAATTATATTTCACTGTCCGAGCAATGTATCGTCTTTTAGCTCCACTCGTCCCTGTAAAAGATGCATTCAAATAAATAATAGAGCGTTCTTCATTCAATTTCGTCTGAAAAAGTAGTAAGGGGTTGATCGTGCATTCCCTTTTCACATTTTGTCAAGCGTGTTTTAAGTCTTCCTGCATGTAAAATTCTGAATTATCTCAGCGTAAATCATATCTGATGTTTTCAATCCATAAATGCACACGTCTCTTTCTTTTTTAAAGTGTCCGGCAAGGAATTTTTCTCAGGAATACATTTTGTGCAACTTTCTACTACTCTGAAATGTATGTAACTACACATCTTATTGCAAAGTGCACTTCTTTAAACATTTTATAATTTACATGCTTCTCCGGACTACTGAGCGCGCTGTTGCTGTTATAGTAACTTCAGGAAGACACTGTTCAGTTTATTGAGTTTAGGGGTTTTCTTTCAAATCATTGTAACGGAAAGTGTGCTGTGAGCTTAGAGCCATTTTATTTGTGACGTCATACACATAGCATTAATGCTTAAACCACTGTGTGTTAGTGACTGGGCGGAGCTTAGGAGTGGGTTGCTGCACATACTTGATTGGTTAATAAGTCCCATAGGTTTATTACATGCACGTGTTCGTAAACGTGACTTATTGGTACCACCTGAGGTGGCAAAATCTATAATACATTTTATTGAAAGGTCTATGTCTAAGGATGATAAATTGATGTGATAGCAATCCCAGGGTGGTAGCTTAGTGGTGGTAAACGCCCACTTTTTAAGCCTAGTCAGAATGAGCTTACTACACAAATCCTTAGCACTTGGGTTAGGATATGGTTGTACAATTCGCAAATACACCATTAAGCTTATAATGATGAAACTTGGTCAAATTATTGGTTTGCTATAGGTTTTGAAAATGACGTCACGTAAAAATATATATTGCCTCTAGAGGGCGCTGTTCTTGGATGTATATAATGTGCTCATATATTACAGAAGGTTTTTTTAGTTGGCTAAACATTATTTTAAACATTAATCTTTTGTTTGTGTCCCCTGTTAAACAAACCAAATTTAATTAATGGTTTAAAAGTGTTGGTTTAGGTCTGTTTTAACTATCTAGATAGTAACATTTTTTTAAATTGTCAGTATAGCACCTGCCTGAGTAATATAATCTGCCTGTATATCATACATAATTATACATGAGGTATTCATATTAGAGTCATGTGTACATGTAGGTTGTTATCACCTGTCTCCAATATGCTTTCTAAGACATAGATAGCATTTCGCAAATCAAATAATCATACTCCACGTGATGATCAACTTCACGTGATGACACATTTATTGCCATGGCAACTGTCTATGGAGGGCGCTATACTTGGATGAGTATTTTTTAGACATTAATAAGTCATTTCGTTTGCCACGTGTCAATGTGCATGTATATGACACTAAATAAAAGCAACTTGTATGACTCTGAGCAGTATAGTGGGCCCCAGAGACAAGGTGCGCGTGCCCACTGGCATGCATGTGGACACGCCCTGGCGCCATGTCAACCACTGCCCCAGCTATGGGTTAAATAGTCCTGGACAAGAGGGGCTCGTAAACCTGGGAAGGCAGCCCTCCTAATTAGAGAAGGAAAACTCTAACCTTAAACCACCCGTATCAGGAGAGGAGTTGCGACCACCCGAGCACTACTTTCGCAACAGAAAAGCCTAATCGTGATCTTAAATCCAATGAAGAATCGTATACTTCCAGCGGCCGGAGTCCGCAGGAGAACAGCGGAGGGAATTCGTGCACGCTCACCTCGTGAGAATGGTGATGGCGCTCCCTCAAATCCCAAGGGAACCTTGGGAAGGGGAGCAGCAGACGGGTGCCGGAGAACCGACGCACTATACTGAGATGTAAGCAAAGCTTGTCTCTTGCCACAATAATGTGCAGACAATCATGGAGGATAAAGGAGCAAAGGAGCTAGTGGATAGAATGAGGAGACACGGAGTTGCCGTGTGTGGGATCCAGGAGCACAGGAGGGTGCATGATGGCACGAGAGATATCGTGGTTACCAACATGAAGATTAGTAACTTGTCACCACATCGGCTTGGAGAAATGAAGCACAGGCAGCAACTGGTGGGGTCGGGCTTATGCTGAGCAGAGAGGCACAGCGGTCGTTAATCAGTGTTACCGGTCTTCTGATAGAGTTATCACTGCCTCTTACCAAAGCAATCCAGTCCTCACCGCCATAGTGGCCTACGCACCAACTCTCCTAGCACCCTATGAGGAGAAGAGAAAGTTCTATGATGATCTAAGACGAGCGGTAGAGGCTGTTCCCCAGTATCACTTCCTTGCCATTCTTGGAGACTTCAATGCCCGCCTGGGACAGGGAGACGTTCCTTTCACCTTTCATCAGGTAACAAATGACAACGGGGTGCGTATGCCAGATCTAATTGAGGACTACTCTCTTCTAGTCAACAACACAATGTTTGAGAAACGAAAGGGAAGGCTGTGGGCGTTACTCTGAATAGAGTAGTGAAGATTAAATGTAAGTGTACATTGTGATGCATCGTTGACTTCAAGACGGAATGATATGAACGGGCCATCTTGGATCTTGTACCTGATCATGGCTGGTACTGACCAAGGAATGTACGCAAAGTGGACCAGCTCCTCTCTTTGAATGCGTCGCAGGTGCATTTCCCTCAGCTGCTTGCGTTGGGCCCTGACTTTTGGTGTGACGTCGTCCGTTATGAAGATGTTGTTGCCCTTGAACTTGTTGTTCTTCAGATGTTTTGCTGCATTCTTTAAGATGAATTGGCGATCGCTGTATCGAAGAAACCGGCAGTGAATTGGTCTTGGGCGTGGTGAGCTGAGTGCTATAGCTGAGCCTGTACCGGGTGGTGGACCCGTGCGATGTGCCCGGTCGATCTCAATCTCGTCGGCACCCTGGAGCTTCAGATGACTGGTCAAGAGCTCATGGACGAAGCCCTCGCACGATTCCAATCAGGCCTCAGATATCTCAGGAATGCCTTGGATGACAACGTTGTTACGACGACTTCGATTGTGGATGTCATCAATCTTGTCTTCTAGGTTCCTGATGATCCGCAGGTTGTACTCGGTTTTTGTATTGATCAGTGTTTTGATGGCGTCATGACTTTCCTGGACAAACGTTACAGATGTTTTGAGTTCAGCGATGTCTGTGGTATTTGAAGACACCTGCTGATGGGTCTGTTGGTGCTTAAGCTCTAGGGAGCTCAGTTGTGATTCGATGTTGGAGATTGACGCCAGAACCTTGTCAAGCTTGTCGTCAATGATCGATAGCTTGTCACTGCATACGCATGACGCAACACAGCCGCCATCTTGGTCGCTGTCATTCGGGCTCGGGAGATCTTTTTTTGAGCTGGGTTTTCGGCGACTCCGAGGTGCTTTCGTCGCTGGATCCTTGTCGGTCATGGTAAGATGTGTCTGTCTAAGATGACTGTAAACACTAGTGGCAATATTTCTTCCAAAATGACGCAAAATTTATGTAAAAAGAGGGAGAGCGGATAGTACACAACCTTACTCGTCACGCATCACTTAACTTGACTGTCGTTCAATTTTATTCGGCGTTGCCGGCATCGCAGTTTTCTGCACTAATTTCTACATGTTCTGCTGCTCCTTTCTTTGATTTTAACATCGAGCACAGAGGATGAACGTAGCATGAACGTAGATCATCCAAAGTGATCCATGGATTGACGGTTCATAGACTTTTCCCTTCATTGACTGTCGTTCATTTAGACATCATTCAAATATACTATAAAGTTCATTAAGATTATCGTGCCATTTGTACTAAGGTTCTTTATGCTATCGTTCTTTTGTAAATACCCGATACAAATTTGTATGTATACATATTGTCTCATATTTTAGGAGCTATTCAATTGTGCTCTAAATAAAGTATTTCTTTTAGTGGAGCCACTCGGTTGGGCGGAGAGTGACAAATTTAAACTTTATTTCGCTCTCCCCGGTCACACTCCCTGGTTAGTCAAGGTTGGGCTGCACCCTCGCAACGCATCGCATCGCATCGAAATCTCTATATGGTCTTGGCGTAGAAGGGCTCCACCATCATGTGCACACTCAGGCAGGCAATCACCACAAGGACCACTTTGAGGTTGGGAATCTCCAATACTTCTCTGACCAGGCAGCCCAGGCGGTTGTTGATGTGAGGATTCTGCCTCTGGAACTCTGCCAGGTGGTCATAGTTGTATATTATTAGAACTGCTGCTGTCCTGGAGAGGTACCAAACCCGCTATCCTTGTTGGCAAACAGCACTCTGGATACATGCCTTTGCTCCAGGAAGAGGAGGAATAGCTTTTAGCGGCTCCAGGGCTTGTGATGAAATTCAGGAGCCACCAGCTTGGGGCACATAATTATGTCCAGTGCATTCTTGCTGTCTACCTCCAGATCAACCATAAAAACTCCTTCAGATCCTGCTCCATCTTCATATCTGCCTCCACCAGCCTCATAACCTTATTCATGACACTGCTGAAGCCCAGTGTAGTGTGAGTGCCACAAAATAGCTGGCCTGATGGTGTATGTTTCCAGGTCGTACATCTCTGCAAGCACGGCTTTGAAATTAAAAAAGCCCTGGTTGTGCTCGGTGTTATCTTCATATGTCTCAATAATTTATCAGTTTTATACAATAGATTGTATACTCATTTACATTTGTATCTATGCCCCAGACTGCCTGTGATATTTAGTGATATAGAGTGCATTAATAATGTTCTTAATATAAATTGTCAGTTATTTGCTCATCTATGAAAGTATTACTGACTTAAGTGGTGTGTTCAATATAAACTTTACCAAATCGATTGAAATGGGCAAAAAGGCATTCATGTCGCAATAATCCAGGATGGCTGTCACCCATTAGGAGTACACCATAAACAATGATTTACTCGGGTTCCTTGGTATAAAAAATATGGGGTTTGCCACCAAGGGCGGATCCAGAACACAATTTGGGGGGGGGGACAAAAAAATTTTTGGTCCCCCCCAAAAGTGGGTCAAAAAAAAATACTGCGTGGGGTTCGGGGCCCGCTTAAGGGTCCCGAAATTTTTTTGGATTCTAGGTGCTCTGTGGTGCGATCTGAGGCAATTTCGGACCACTTTAACCAATGGTTTTTTGAGGCAAAGATGGTGGTGTACTCATTGCCTGCCTTTATTGCGATGTCACATTAAAAAAAAATTGGTTTCGTGGGGGGGGGGGCATGGCCCCCTTTGGCCCCCCCTGGATCCGCCCTTGTTTGCCACCAAAATGAACTTCAAAGACAATCAGGTCCGAAGCAACCTCGTCCCCAGTGCTTACTTTATTTCCAACGTTGTTTCCAATTGTAAACCCTGGATAGGAAACTTCCTTCCTGCATCCTGATTCGATACCGCAATTGGCTAGAAATGGATTTATATCGTGTACTTGGTGTTGTTATTCACAATGTGCAGTACGTGTTTTCGCGATCATTCGTCCACGCCTTCTCGAAATTATTCATTTCCTTTCCCAGTTTGTTAATATTAATATGAAATGTGATACTGCATGTTGTCTCGTTAAGATCGTAACAGTTTAATTAAAATGAAATCATGTTTTCGTAACTCACGCCATGCTCGCGCTGCGACGAATTGATTCTGTTTTTACCCCAGACACCGCATACAAAAACAAACGCAAATGTAACGCACAGGCAGGCACCAGACTACTCCTAATTTGCATACGTGTTCAAAAATCTTGCACATGCAAATGATCCAATACCAGGGTGAGAGAGCAGGTAGTGGTGGACGCGTACTGCTCGACACCCTGGGGACGAGGTTGGGTCCGAAGTTATGATACAAATTAGGTCCGATCAGTGGCGTAGCCACGGGGGGTGGGGCGTGGGGGGGGGGGCGACAGCCGCCCATGAAACCTTGTCGCCCCCCAGTCGCCCCCCCCCCCACTGAGATTTTGAGTTTCTAAAAAAATAATCGTCGATCTACATGACGCCCCCCCCCCCCATGAAATGTTCCAGCCCCCCAGCCCCCCCCCCCCCTCACTAAAAAATTCCTGGCCATTTTGAAATCAAATATGGCCGCCACACGGTAGACGAAAAAAAAAATACCAGTAGATTTCTGGCTTAGGAAGGTAAAGTCTATCCAAATATGACAAAAATTACTTTGGCAGCAAAAAAAAATGCACAAGTACATAACAGCCTGTACTACACCCAACATCCCAACATAAGCATCAAGCCTACGTCGTGTTTCACACGCGCCGTGGGGGAAACACAGTAAGTTGATCTTTATTTATTCGTAAGGTTAGAAAAGCAGATCGGACGTTTTTGTAAAATGCATTTTTCTGCTTTTCTGCTTTTCTGCTATCAGAAAAGCAGATCGAACGTTTTGGACAAATCCACTTTTCTGCTTTTCTGTTTCTGAGAAAGCAGATCCAACGTTCTGTCACAGCGGTCTAAAAGTGGCCAACGGCGCTGCCGCAAGCTGCATATGCCCGGTAAAAAATGGACTGTTCCCCCAAAACGCTGCAAATTAGGCAACCAATACCAGCGGTCAAGCAATTTGCCCCTCCCGAACAGGCACATTTTCAACTGGCCCCTCCCGAACAGGCACATTTTCAACTGGCCCTGCAGTAGTTATGCTTAATGCACATTATATGCCCATTTTCACGGCGCATTATAATGGTTTTTGAGCGTTTACTTTTTGGAGGGAATGATTTCAAATGCAAATCTCTCAATTTTTTTTCGATATAATAATATTGCTGAACAAAATATGTGTAAAAAATTCCGCCGGGGGGGGGGGAGTCCCCCTGCCCCCCCCCCCCCCCCCCCTCCTCTGGATACGGCACTGGCAGGTTCGTACGTAATCCGCATTTTTTTTTTTCGTTTCTCATCAGGAAAAAGTGGGGGAGGGGCGATTCGATAGCCCATCCCCCAGTCATTTTAGGGGGGGGGGGGGAATATAATATGTACATACGCCCCTATTTTTGAATGTCTGGTCAATTATATAAGAGCACATTAAATTCAAGTTTGTACTTCTGGGATGTGGCACTTGTAAAATAGATTTTCAAATTGCATTGATAATTTTCTAGCATTATGCCTACATTAGTTATGAGCTTTCAAATGAGACATCGTACGACATCAAAAATCGGCCCACGACAAGTAAACAAGTATTTACATTGAACTTTTGAATTAAGAGTGGGGCCGGGACGCTCCTAATTCGCTCTGAATAGTGTGCACAATTTCTGAATTGGAGCCCGTCATTTAAACACACCTTTACAATAAGAATAAATACCTGAAAAAGCAAACCAATTTATTTTGCTAAAGGGCATTATATTCCTTCAAATTTCGTTCGGAAAAGAGAACCGAACTTTGGAAAAAGCCTATCTGCGCAAAGCCTAGTTGTTTACGTTGGTCCATTATTTCATGGCGTGCTAGATTTCATAGTACAGGCAATATAAGGTTTGACCTCAAACAAATTGCAACAGAATTTTTTTCACCACAGTGCATTTCTATAAGGTCCCTA